CTTACCAAGCAGTCTGTATAACTGACCTGGCCCTACCATTATTACTACTACACCAATTTGTGTCATTGGCCTTTTACCAGTGATTTAATATTTTCTTCCAGATCATTAATAAAGTTGTTAAGTAACACTTCACAAGAAACACTCCCACTGGCTGATGATTCACCATTTACAATTATTTTGAGATCTGTCAGTTAACTAGTTTTTAATCCATTTAATATGGGCTACTTTGATTTTGTGTAATGCTAAACTGATATTATCCTATTCTCCCTGACTCCCTTATCAGGGGTTTTCTCTCTATGCTGTGGTGTCTTGTTATATTGTTGTTACAAGTGATCCTGGACCCAATCCTGTGTTCTTTGTGCACCTGAGGCCATAGAAATGAAAATAATCATCATGCATTCTGTTGAGGAGTAGCATCATTAGGGAGGGATGGTACCAGCTTCCTGTTTGATTGCTATGTTTTCCTTTTTATATTTACAACATATTTTTTTACATGTTTGCATGCATTGCTTTTTTTAATAAAAACCCAGTGAGTTAATGTTCATTTGAATTATGGAAGTGAATACATCATTTTATTCATTATATTATAATGTTGTTGATTTCCAAGGTACCAATCCCCACAGCAGCCCGGGGCTGGATTCACAAAGGGGACTTAGGCACTGCAACGCTCAGTGTCTCACCACCTAACTCTTTAGAGACTTTGCTGCCCAGTGTAATCCCTGGCCCTGAGTTACATGCCCAAACTCCCCTAGACAATGCATGGGGAGAGTTAGGTGCCTAAGAAAGGGATTCTCAGAAGCCAGCACACATTGAGCAGAGAACTGCCTAAGCTGATCCAGGAGTAAAACGCAGAGGATTGGGGCAGGATTTAAGGTCCAGATCCACAAAGGGACTTAGACACCTAACTTCCATGATCTGGGCCTTAGGCGCCTGTCTCTGGTCAGAGTTCTCCTGGAGTTAGGCACCTAAGCCAGGTCAGTCCTTTCCTGTGAAAAACCAGAGACACCCTCATTTACAGTTCGATCCTGCACTCTGATGCATCACTTGCATTGCCACTTACCACCATTTTTTGAGACACATGAGAGAGAGTGCAGTCTAAGCAAAAGGACTGAGAGCAAGGAACTTCTGAGTCCTGATCCCAGTTCTGTCTGTGTGATTCTTCAACTGCTCAGCCTCAATTTTTCCATTTGTAAAATGGGGATAGTAACGTTTATCCATCTTACTGGGTTCTCTGAGGATTATCACTATAATTAGTATTACAGTATCACTTAGAGGGGCCATTCAAAAGCAAACCTCATTGTACATAGGTGCTGAACAGAGGGGGAGAGAATTCCTGCCCTAAAAAGCTTGCAGTGTAAACAAACAAGAGAGACAAGTTGTGTGTGAGAGGAAATATTACTAGCCTCACTTTACAAATGGGAAGTGAAGCCCAGAGAGATTCAGGCCCAGATCCTCAAAGGTATTTAGGCATCTAACATCCATTGAAATCAATGCACATTAGATGCCCAATTACCTTTGAGGATGGGGCCTAAATAAGTTGACCAAAATAACAAGGGAACTGCACTAAAGCAAGTCCCAGTCCAGTGGTTTAACCACAAAACTCACCACCCCCGCATTAAGTAGGTCATACTTTATGAAGTATCTTGAAAGGAAAATCACTAGCAAAGCGATAAGTATTATTGATGCTATATACATCATGGTGTGTGGAGATAGCAGGAAAAAGCCCAGGGAGCACGCACCTAGCCCTTTGTCCTTGTATTGAGAATGGGATAGAAATGACATGCTCTCCAACTAGAAAAGGAAGTGACTTTCACAGAATGCGCTACAGTTATATGACTTTTCCTTTTAATTTTCCACTGTACCAAAGGATGCCAAAGAATGTTCTTGGCATGGTTGAATGTATTTTTCCTGCAGGTATTTAAGTCCAATGTATTCAGTATGGGCAACCTGTCTATGGGTCACTGTTTTATAGGTAGTTTTTGCCCCGGTTGGTTTGCTTTTTCCCTATTAAATGTTTAATTTCATCTTTATCAGAGCACCAATCTGAGAGATGATATGGAGTTCTCACTGCCTGTGCCTCTGTGCTAACAGGAAGGCTGGGAACAGGCGGCAGCTGCTGCAGTGTTGCCAGTCCCTCTGCACCTGCCATCTCCCTGCCCCATCTTCTTTCAAGGATATAGGCAAAGGTTACTAAATTCCTGGGCAGATATTTTTCCCAGGGTATAACTGTCATCCATCACTTAACAAGCCAACGCCATGTAAATACAGGCTGGCAGACATGAGCATTACATATTATACTGGAATTACTCTATGTATTTGAACTGAGAAGGCAACTTGCCAAATAATATTTATTTTATTCCACTGACTGGGGCTTTCAAAGTTTTAAATGTGCATCATTGGTGGGGCTTGCCCTGGAGGAAGCCAGCCAATGAGGTGGAACATAAAGGTTGAATGTTTATATTAAGACCTAATCCAGGGCTATGAAGCTGCCCATAATGTTTACAGTTTTCATGGGCCATTATGTTGCTGCCCCATGCAGTTCATACCAGCCTTACCATGCAAGTCAATCAGGTGACCCCCATGGGTAGCAAAATGTTTTGGGTGGGTGACTGCACACTAGTAGAAGTGGAAAATGGCCAGTTTTCCTAAGGTGGCAAAAGCATTGCTTGTAGCCCTCGTTGTCCAAATTTTGCTTTCAAATGGAAATAGAGGTTGAATTGTCTCCTCTACCTGGGCGGAAGACTATGGTTTGAAAGTAAGCTAAGGACTCTTCCCAGTAGGTAGTGGAGACAAACAACAGCAGTGATGCCTTCATTTCTAGAAATAGGTACATTCCATGTAACTCTTTAGCAGTCTCCTCACAAGGCCAACGCATAGAGCAGAGCTGATTTCAGAGCAGCCCACTGCTTTAGGTGAAGGTAAGTCTTATACCTGCTTCAAGTACCTGAGTTTAGAGGGGTAGGGGAGCTACTGTGCATAAAGAATGAAGAGAAAACAGTGAAGGAAGGTCAATACTCTTCAAACGCTATTTGCACCACATAATACCTTGAGATCCTCCTCCTGCCTGCACTTTGGACCAAACGGTGCCTCTGCCATTAATGGCACTGGGAGTTGTGAGCATGGAATGAGGGCATGGCCTGAATGCAGCCTTTTGTAAGGTGCAGGTCCAAGCCCCGCCAAGAACTTGGGCAACAGCAGTCATGGCTGGTAGGGTCCCACGTTCCTGCATTTAAAATAAAAAGCATAAGTAAAAAACTGAATGCATTTTGATGAAAAACACATTACCATAATTGTTACCTGTTATCTGTATTTGGCTGGTACCCACAATGTGCAGTCTACATGCAGAGGAATATACAAGCTCTACCCCCAAGGGTTTTCAGTATACTAAGACAAATAACATATGACAGCTGTGGAAAGTGTGATCCCCAGCTTACAAGCAGATTTCAGTCATGACACAACAATGTTGGGGTTAACAAAACAGCAAGGTAGGGTTTGAGGGAGTAGCATCAATATGATGACATGATAACTCAGCAAAGGCCAGTGCACAGTATGATGGAATCAAGAATAATTTAAAAATCATCAATAAAACATAGATATCTAAGTTGGCTGAAAGAATCTCACCATTTATCATCTGACTATTCCATTTCTGACCTCTAGAGCCAAACGCAATGCCAGAAACACTGGGAAAGATATTGGACAAGGAGGGATTCAAATTGAACTTATGACTCCAAAAGGCATTTTTAATCAACCTTCTTCTTTGTATGGCTGATGTAGAGCAAGAACTATAATTGTACATTCCGATGGTTAAGCCAGATAATTGCGTCAAGATTAGTGGAGGGTATCGCTGTGATGCCGCCTTCGTATTTGTGAATCAGGCATTGAGTTGTTATATGTTCCATGGTCTGTTCTGGGTGACCACAGTTGCACACTGGAGAGTCTTTAATTTTTCATTTGTGCGGCAAGTATCTGCATCTGCCATGGTTTGTGCAGATGCGGTTTAGGGTTGCCCATGAGCTTCACAGGAAATCAAAGCCACAGATCTTCTGCATTGGGTATTTCACAGGGTGTTTGTAACTTCTTGTGAACTCTATTTGACTTTCCAAACTTCAGAGTTGCAATTGCATTGGTGAAGGTTAAACACATGGGTCCAAAAGAGCTTCGGGACTTCAAGTGGCAGTGAGGGACATTGTTAAGGCCCTGGTGGATGTGGAGACATGCGTTTTCTATGATCTGCTAGAATTCCCAAAGTGTTGAGGCATTGCAGAGAATGGATTGGGGAGCACCAGCAGCCAAAGTGTTGGGGTCAGCTTGAGGGTTCCAATAATGCAATTTTTAAATCAATTAGGTTACAGTATCTCAGTTTATATGATATCGAATTATTTGCAAACAAATAAAAAAAACAAAGAAGGTGGTAATAAAATGCCAAATGCATTTAAATCAGTAGGGCTAGTTAATGTTTTTTGAGTGAAACGTTTTCCTATTAGAAAGACAAGTGAGTAAAGTAATACCTTTTATTGGACCAACTTCTGTTGGTGAGAGAGAGAAGATTTCGAGCATACACAGAGCTCTTCTTCCTCTTTGAAAATAGGGTTTCACTGAAATTTTCAACAAGAAATCAGGGAAATTGAAATGAAATGTTTTATTTTGGGTAGGTTGATATTAATCTTTGCAATTAAGCCACCAAAAATGTCCGGTGCGATGGAAATTCCATTTTTTTGATCAGCTCTAGAAAACAATCGCTTTTATGGGATTGATCCTGCAGGGATCTGAGCACCTTCTGAGAGGTGTGGAGTACCTTCCCCACTGACTTCAGCACCTCACAACTTGGAGTTTTCTATGGATTTCTGTGCAATGCCTCAAACACTGAGTATGTCCAACTTCCTTTGATTTCTTCTCAGATTCATTCTCTGATATATTTCAAGTGTCCATACAATTAAAATAAACTCAGCATTTGTTTTAATAATTATATAAAGCTTTGTTGGTACATTTCTGTATTTCAGATATTGATGAATGTGCTTCCGAGTCACACCAGTGTAACCCCACCCAGATCTGCATAAACACTGAAGGAGGATACACCTGCTCCTGCACTGAGGGCTATTGGCTCTTAGAAGGCCAGTGTTTAGGTATGTTCTTCTGGAGTGTTGATATATATTGTCTAGAGCAGTGTTTTTCAAACCATGGGTCGCGACCCACTAGCAAGTCATGGCATGTAAGGCGCTGGGTTACCTTGCTCTGGTCAGCACCGCCAACCGGGACGTTAAAAGTCCTGTCGGTGGTGCTGCCCAGCTAAGGCAGGCTAGTACCTACCTTTTCTGACACCGCGCTGTGCCCCAGAAGCGGCCAGCAGGGGGACCATGGGGCTCCGCGCTCTGCCCCTGCTCAGAGCACCAGCTCCGCATGCCCATTGGCCGGCAACCAGCCATGGGAATTGGGGGGTGGGCGGTGCCTGCGGGCGAGAGTCACACACCTCCGCCCAGGAACCAGACATGCTGCTGGCCACTTCAGGGGCGCAGTGTGGTCTGCGGTGCACACTGGCTGTGCTGCTGACCAGGAGCCACCAGAGGTAAGTCTGTGCCCCAATCCCCTTTCCCAGCCCTGAGCCCCCCGAACTTGGAATCCCTTCCTGCACCCCAAACCCCTCATCCCTGGCCCCACCCCAGAGCCTGCACCGCAACCCAGAGCCCTGCCCCCCTCCTGCATCCCAACCCTCTGCCCCAGCCCAGAGTCCTGACCCCCTCACGCATCCTAACCCCCAGCCCTGAGGCCCCCCCCAAACCCAGAGCCCCTCCCACACCCCAAACCCCTCATACCCCAACTCCGTTGGGTCACAGACATCAACAATTTTTTTCAACTGGGTCCCCAGAAAAAAAGTTTGAAAACCACTGCTCTACAGTGATTCTGGAAAATCAGTGTCCATCTGATTAATACAATTCATTCTAGTCATAATTCTGGTCTCTTTCTGTCTCCCCAATGTTTTGATGATAATTAAAGTTGGATTGCTATCATGGGTCTCCCAAATTCCATAATTTTCATATTTCTTCTGTGTTCAAAATCTTCCATAGTTTTGGACAATTTAGGATTCTGTTATGTGCATATGGTGGTACAGAACTGAACTGACATCACTGAGAGTCTTTGTCAAATACAGAGCTCACCCTTGGCCTATGTGGAAAACTAACATCTTTCTTATTTGTTAAGTGCCAATAGTATGCTTGGCAAAAAGACTCCCACATGGAACAAAATGGCAATGCCATATGACTGGTATCCATGTTACTGATTTCCACTATGAAAGCAGCCCCTTTTGTATATTCTAGTTCATAAAAATATGACATACCAGCAACACATGTCCTTTCCACATGGTCATAATCCTGACCTACGGCGCTTACATTACTAGAGACCAGGAGCTCAGTAACGATAACATCAAGAAACAGAGCAGTGAACCCACTGGAAAATCTTGGACACAAGCAAACATGTGAGTCTGAAACCAGCGCTGTTTCAGCAGATTCAGAGCTCTTCTCTCTGTCAGCTGCAGAGAGTCAATCTCTCAGTGTCTGCAGTGCCCTACAATGTGAAAAACCAAACCCTACCAAATAGCAGCAACAGCAAAGGTGCAAACTCTACCACTTCCCTCACCCACTCCCCTCAATCAGTATCACAGGCACTGACATGGGCTTTAATTTTAGGCCAAGTCATATAAATCAGAGACATGACTGAATGTGTTTTTAGTGTTCTTGTTACACTCTCTTCCTGCTTTTTTTCCCCTCTCAGCACAGGCTGTTTGCCCATCTGTTCTCCAAAATGGGACTTCAGTGTCACACCACCTCAGCTGGAAGGAGAATGGGATTTCCCTGCTCATTTTCCTTGGAATTTGTCCTTGGAATTTATTTCTCATCTCCTCCTCCTGTCTAGCAATTGGAATGGAGGATTGCATGGCTGCTTTTTTAACTTCTGCTAAAAGCTGCTGTGTAACTCACCTGGGGGTGATATGAAGTTATCAAGTCCCCTGCACCTTTAATTCTAGAGCAGGTTCCTGTAACTGCTATTCTCCTAGAGACCTGGGAAAGAGAAGGCGTAGTGATAAATTCTCTGGTTTAGTAAGGGCCACAGAAAACCCTATGTTCAGTGGCAATTGAGTCATTCTGCCTCCTGAGGTAGAAGATGTCACAGATAGGTCATTCAGGAAGCCTATGCACTTTCTGTGTGACTCCAGACTCCACAGAGGTGTGACTCCTCAGCATGCCTCTTGAGGTGGGGAGTTTGGGCTAGTGAGTGATCTGTGATATTATGGATGCACTGGGTTAATCTTGTGCATGGGGTTGTGTGTGTGTGTTCTGCACCATGCCCTGGTATGTGATGATCCCCATGTAGTTCCCTTGTGCACAACCCAAGTACATGAGCTATGTGCAGGAACCAGGATTTGGCCCCGAGTCAGAATTCAAGCACTTTGATGCTTGGTGTAAGTATCAGAGACCCATAGTTGTTGCCCTGCTGAGCTGAGTTTGCCCAAGAGTATCTGTTTATGCTATTTTAAAGAGACAATAACATCTCAATGGTTGATTTAGGTAACTGTGAGTAAGGGTGGGGAAGATCACCACAAAGCAATGCAGAGATGTAAGAAGAAAAGCTGTGCTGAAAAAACTCCTCCGCATTTTTCCAAAAATGTCAAAGAGTCTTCTCAGTTCTCTGCTTTTCCACAGGCCCTGGAGAATCCATTTCCACTGGGCACATGGACAAAAAAAAAAAAAAGATAATGTAAAAGTATTTGGAGGGCTGGGTTGAGTTTACAAAGGCAGTCTCTGTTGGTACATTTCTTCACTGTTAGTAAGAAAAGCACATCTGTCTAACCAAATTGTTGTTGTTGTTGCTATTTAATATTTAGCCTGTAAGTGCCAGCACAGTAGTTACACAGTGGTGCCAAGAGGAGCCAGTCAGGAAAAGGGTTCCTACAAAAACAAAGTCCCTGGCTTGGAGATTTTATAATTGTAGGTCCTGATCCTGCAAAGACTTAAGCATGTACTACATTTTCAGTGCTGTGAGTGATGCCACTGAGGAGAACAGAAGTACTCACCTGCTTAAAGTTGAGAATGTGTATAAAACTTTGCAGGATTAGGGCTTAACCTATCTATCTAGACGTTTGTATGACACACCTGTCACTGGTATGTGGGTCATCTTGGTATTGGACTAAAACAGAAAATAAATCTATTAAAGGTGAAAATCAATGCCCCTTAATACTTTTAAACATATTTCCATTACTTTTGCCCTGTTTAACCTAGCTTCCTGAGCCATTTCTTTGACAAAATTGCCACTCAAACCCAAAAACTTAAACCTGATAAAGCTAGCTAGTAGCTACCCAGTGTTGTCCATTCTTCATGGTAATATAAAATCACCTAAACAATTCAAATATTCTGTTGGATAAAATAGTCTTTAACACCTAATTTCTGCTTTAAAATCCAAACCAGGAACATAACCAATTTGAAGTAAGACGTCAGAGAATGCCTATATTATGCCAAAAAGTACATGATAAATGACAAACAATGAACTGCAATTTGTGCATTTGTGTGTGACAGACAAAACTGAAACTATCAATATTCTGATTTTCACGTGTGTTGGAGCTTCTGGAGATACTTCTGATATAACTGACACCATAAATGGCAAATCCTGCTTTCCTTACTCACTCTAGTAAACAGATGGAAGACAATAAGTCTAATTGGCTTATGCCAGTGGAACTCCATTCACATCAAAGGAGTTTCACCAGCATGGAACTGGTATGGCTGAGAGAAGACTCAGGCCCAGTGGATATACCCTTGTGAGTAAGGGGAGCAAGAGTCAACCAAGAAAACCAAATTCAGAAAATGCAGCTTTCAAAAGTTGCGGGAAACATATGTCCTGATTTTCAGAGGTGGTCAGCACCACAATTTCCACTGAACTCCATGAATGCTGCAGGTTCTCATCGCCACTGGTCATTCAGCCAAGAATCATCCCCTCACTCAAGGAAGTGTTTGTTTGACTGGTTTTCTATGTCTACCTTAGTGATTCACTGGCTGGATGTTATCACTTAATATTCCACCGGAGTGTCTTAGGGATGCAGTTTTGAGGAAGCTCAGGTCTGGTTCTCCAAGTGCAAATTTGTTAAGCTTTCATCAAACTGAGTTGTTGTTTTTCCAGATCACCACAGACTTTTATATAATTATAGTTTTTCCAATCACGGCAGTACTTTCCAGCTCAAAAAAAAAAAAAAGAGAGAGAAGAAGAGAGAGAGAGAGAGAGAGAGAGAAGAATGAGTTGCTATTCCAGTAAACCATTCACCCTTGACTTTGTTTACAGGAAGCACTCATATAGGGAACGTCTTCCAATATCGTGTTTCCCATCTGCAGTCACTACAAGGCTTGGGTTGTCACTAGAGATAGAAGTTGAATATCAGTGCAGTATTTGCTCTGAGAGCTTATTTGAATCACCCATAAAGAAAAATCTAAGCAAGGTCATAAACTTTTACTCACTATTGGAAGGATATGAAGTTTTGAGGACAGCCAAAAAACAACCCCATAAATTAGAAGGCAGCTGATCCAAAAGAAAATGAATTGCCACAAAAGAGACAATTCATCAGGTGTTTTATTTCTGCTCTGAAGCAAGGAGTAAAGCTCTTCCTAACTTTCATAATCATGTTTATTAGGTTCCAGTGCCATCAGAGAGTAAATTTACATTATGCTTGTGTCTTTCAATCTTGTCTCTTGCTCATGACAGTCAAATGCAACGATTGTTCATGCTGCAGTTCAACAAAAAACCAGTTATTTTAGCGACGCTATGAATTCCTATATTTTAAAGTTTCCTCATAAGCCAGTGAAAACAGTCCCATAAAAATAGTTTTCAGGGTGATAAAAATATTTAAAGATTGCCATGTCTAAGACTAAAAGCAGCTTTTGGGGCTAAATCCTGCTCACCTTATTATGTGAATAGGCCTGATATATGTGTGTAAGTGACCAGGATTACAACCTAACCATTACAGAAAAACAGTATAATATTTTGTGCTATACTCTAATAGACACAAATCAAGAGTAGCTTCTGATGCCGTGTGACCTGGGCTTTTTGATAATGTAGCACATTGAGCAGAATCATTTACAACTGACTATGGAACCAATCAGCTCCCGTAATTATATTTCAGCTATTTATAACCAAATGTATTGCTGTGTTGTCTTGGGGAGATATGGACTTGAACAACCTTCCATCTGAATGCTTTGGACTTTGGCTGTTCGAGTTCTGGAGTCAGAATATCATATGTTAATCCCTTCCCCCCTCGCTATGAGTAGATTTTAGTCCTATGGTTATATGAGTTTATCTAATGCTATGTATGGCAAGTACAACTACAATCTTGTCTGTACTTCAAATCTTTTTTTATTTTTAGACATAGATGAATGTCGCTATGGTTACTGTCAGCAGCTGTGTGCCAATGTACCTGGTTCCTACTCCTGTACATGCAATCCAGGTTTTACCCTTAATGATGATGGACGATCATGCCAAGGTACTGTATACAAGCAATGACTACTGCAGTGTTGGCCCCAGCCCAGCAAAGCACGTAAGCGTGTGTGTAACTTTAAGAACATGAATATCCTGCTGAGTTCACGTGTGTTACACTGTCTGTTATAGGGTATGGCTACACTTTGAGCTGGAGGAGACACAGCTGTGCTAGCTCTGATTGAGCTAGTGTGCTAAATATAGAGTGTAGCCACTGTGGTGTGAGCAGCTAGCCACCCCAAGTACATCTCTGTCCAAGCTGTTAGGCACATACTCAGGGCAACCTGCCACAACCGCACTCTGTTTTAGCATGCTAGCTCGATCCTGCAGGTATGTCTCCCTGTGCTGGAATTTCAGCTTGCAGGGTAAACGTTCCTGTAAGTATTCATATGGCTTCCATCACTGTAGTATCTGAGCACCTTTTAATCATTACTGTATTTATACTCATGACACCCCTGTGAGGTAGGACAGTACCATTAGCTTCAGTTTCCATATGGAGAACTGACAGAGAGATGAAGTGACTTGCCCAAAATCGCCTAGGAAGTCTGTGGCAGAGCAGGAAATTGAATCCAGGTCTCCCAAGTCCCAGGTTAATGCCCTATTGGACCATTCTTCCTCTCTAATGTGTTTAAGTGCCTTACTGGATCAGAGCCTCTGTGATCTCATGATCAACGTTATATTTCTGTTCTTGAACAGTAAAATACTTCAAAGCAGCTTCTCAGGGAATGGCCCAGCGTTAATGGGATAAAGACACTCCAGCAGTTGCAAGTTTCCTAAAAGGAAAGTCTTTACTTTATGGTAGCCACAGTATTCTATAAGGATCATTTCCTCATTACATCAGCATTCCCTAGATTTATCCTGCTGCTTTTGGCCTGGTCTTGCTCAGATTAAATCAGTCGGAGACTCTTATAATTACTAGATAAACAAGGAAGCATCTGCAGTAAATAGTTTATCCCAGTCTTTCTTGTTATTTTCTGATCTTAGACAGATCAAGCAGCTTTTTCCCCAAGAAGTCTCGGTTGTAAGTGACCCTCTTCCCTCACTAGGGGTAGATTCAAGAGCTGGCAGACTTGTTAAATATGAGATCTCTGATCTCATATTCAATGCTATCTAGTGCCTCAGCAACAGCATTAGGGAAGATGTTCCCAATTGCTTTACATACAGCATGGCCTGTGTTTCCAACCACTTTTTTCATTACAATTATCAGCCTTAAATACCAATAACAATACAAACTGAGTCAAATCTTTGCAAGAGAACCAAACGAAACTGCTGTGCCTGTACTATTAAGTCCTTTCTAATGTTTGATTGTAATAATAATTAATTAGATGCAGTGCCTTGGGAGAAGTCATTGATAAACTGAGTATTGGTTTCCCGTAGATGTGAATGAATGTACAACCCAGAACCCTTGCGTGCAAAACTGCGTCAACACATATGGCTCTTTTCTCTGTCGCTGTGATCCTGGCTATGAACTGGAAGCTGATGGAATTAGCTGCAGCGGTAACTGTCTTCAGTGATTGGGTGCGGGGAGGGGGTTAACTGTATTTAAATCATTTGTTGTAATGTATTATTTTTTATGTGCCTTCCTCTGAAGTTTCAAATATGGTCCACTGTTAGAAGTAGGATATATCTACCTATCCAATCCAGTAGAGCAATTCATCTCTTCCTAATTTCTGTTAAACAGGAGGGTAAAAGCAAGAAACCACACAAAAATCAATGGTGGTGTTTGTTTTTTTCTCATAATGGTTTTAAAGAAATAGATTAAACATTAGAACTGTTCTGTGACAATGGTAAAGAACCACAGAAAAGAGTTGCTTTCTTCTAACACTCACCAAGGAACTTTATTGGCATAAATAAAATAGCATTATTCCAAAATCTACTCTTGCCCTGATACAGCAAATAGCTTACTTTAATTCAACAGGTACTTAAGCACACGTTATCTCTCTTGCCCTGCTTTACTGCAGAACTTTCCCAAACATTTTCCAGCCCTTCCTGCCTGCTACAGATTTAAAGAAACAAGAAACATCCTCATGAGCACTGTTGAATCTAATCAGATAGGAGCGATCCATCCACCATGTAGCAGTATTATTGGGAAATTATTATAACATTGTTCTTTTCCCCTCTCTCGTTTTCCTTTTGTTGTTTTATTTTGCTTAATTGAAAAAGAATAGTTAGGCTTACTTCTTTCGTGAGTGTCCCCACAGTCTGTTTAAATGAGAGAATCCAGCCAATATTTCTTGGAAGGAAAAAACCTCACTGGAAAATATTTGTTTTTTAATTTACACTAAACAGATGTAAAGGGCTGTGTTTGAGAGAAAAAACATGTGACGTGCAGTGTATGTTAAGCCATTGTTCTTTGTAAGCCTAATTATAAAGAAAGGGACTCAGGCCCAGATTTTAAAGGTATTTAGGGGTTATTCTGCTCAGCACTGCAATGCGTAACTCAGGAGCCTAAGTCTCACTTTCAAAAGTGAGTTGGGCACTTAGGACCCTGAGTGTCAGTGAACGTCAGTGGGAGTTAGTCTCCTAAATGTCTAAGTCCCTTTTGAAAATGGGACTTAGACCTCGCAATGTTGAATACCTTTAAAATTCTATTCTTATGTCGTTGTTCTGGCAGTGAAATGCTGCCTTGTTCAAACATGCTCATTGGTCCAAATTCTGGCTTTAGCAGGATTACACAAGATGTAAAGCGGTGTCTGTTTTTTCACACTCCCTGTTGATAAAGTAGCTTCATGGCCTGAAGTTAATAACAACAATATCGAGCATGCTCCCTCTATAAACCACTTTATAGATACTTACTCATCCCTACAACACCCTGGTGAGGTAGTTAAATATATTTCCCCTCTCCCCCCCATTTTAAAGATTGGGGAAACCAGACTGAGAGCTGAAGTGATTTGCGCAGGGGAGTCTGTGTCAGAGCTGGGAATAAGTACTCAGGAACTGGCGGCTCAGACTCAAGCCTTTGTTTCTTTGTAAATTAAGTTGTCATGGGATAAGCGGGAAGATCCTTTCATGGATTGAGAACTGGTTAAAAGACAGGGAAAAAAGAGGAGGAATAAATGGTAAATTTTCAGAATGGAGGGGGTAACTAGTGGTGTTCCCCAAGGGTCCGTCCTAGGACCAATCCTATTCAACTTATTCCTAAATGATCTGGAGAAAGGGGTAAACAGTGAGGTGGCAAAGTTTGCAGATGATACTAAACTGCTCAAGATAGTTAAGACCAAAGCAGACTGTGAAGAACTTCAAAAAGATCTCACAAAACTAAGTGATTGCGCAACAAAATGGCAAATGAAATTTAATGTGGATAAATGTAAAGTAATGCACATGGGAAAAATACACATACAATGGTGTCCCTAGCCTCTGTTTGTCAGAGGGTGGAGATGGATGGCAGGAGAGAGATCACTTGATCATTACCTGTTAGGTTCACTCCCTCTGGGGCACCTGGCATTGGTCACTGTCGGTAGACAGGATACTGGGCTGGATGGACCTTTGGTCTGACCCAGTATGGCCGTTCTTATGTTATGTTCTCTTATTAACTAAGCAGGGGAATAAAGAAATGATTAACAGTGACCTTCCTTGCATGTGCTTTCCCCTCAGACATGATTCCATGTGGAACATTGGGGTCCTGCTTTCTCACTTGAACACAAAATTCTGCAAATTATGTTGATTTAGCAAATCAAGAGTAAAAAGAATGAAAACCAGCATTTCTGTTTTTAATCAGAGATTTGAAAGGCTGCTCAGCTTCCCCGTTATTTTAAAGATCTCTAGGCATTTTGGGAGACCTGCACTGAGCTAGGATGATGATATTAAGCCATATTGGAATGCCAGGAAATAACTGACTCAAGGCTGCTGCAGGGGTGGGATGTAGGATTTCTGCTGGGACTGGTGTCACTCTCTTGGAGGGAAGGCTTTGCTTTCCAGAAAAGATTTTTCCCTTTATAAAATAGACTCAAACCCGTAGCTCACTGCGAGGGAAGACTCCACACACACACACTCATTACCATTCGTTTGAGGAGAGGCCTTTTACTTCTGTGTCTTAGATTAGAGCTAGGTCAGGTCTGTAACATCTGGATCACCAAAACATACCTATGTTCCATGGGTAGTTCTACCTGTGAAGTGAGATATAAGTAAATGGCCAATCACATGGACAATTAGAAACAGGTTTTCTGACAATACAGGAAATAAGAGCAATGTATCCTTTCACTCTCTAGCTTTTCATTCAATGCTACCTCACCTGTAGAGAAAGCTTAATTAAAAAGTTGTGAAGTAACATTTCAGTTTGATGCATTGATGCACCAAACAGAATAGATGACATGGACAGACTCCGTTATTTGCAAAGCTTCTGCTCTACACCCAAAGCCTCCCCTTGTACCTGCAGGTTAATGGAGGGTGTACTTCTGCTACTGAGTGCCAGAGCTAAAAAGGTGCTGAATGCCTTCACCTTCAGCTGCCATGAATGGGAAGTGAGGCACTCAGCTCCTTGCAGGAGGAGAGCTAGGTCCCCTATATAGCTGCACAGAGAACTGTCAGCAAGTCATTATGGGCCTGACCCTGTGTTTCTCACCCACCAACCCCCTCCCTCCCCCGAAGTCAACAGGAGCCTTTGAATGTACCAAGCATGCAGGAGTGGGCCCTAAGGTGCGTAAATACTCTGGTGACACAGCAGAATTGATTATACATAGCAAAGAGCTTTAAAAAATTGCACTGATGAAGTCCAACTGCACTCCTGAAGGCAATAGCTAGTTTTGCCATAGTCTTCCAGAAGAATTAACAAAACTGGTTGTATTTTTAAAAATATAGAGAAACCTATTGTAGGCCACCCCACCACTTTGACTCCCATGATCTGCAACATTCAGTCGCATAGTAGAGATGACCCTGAATTAAAATGGCTTAGTAGCCTCGGGGCTACTTGTGGCTGAATGTTCCTCCTTGGTACTGTATTCTAAAAAGTAGCTATTTAAAAATGGCCCCCTGGAGTTCCATGTCTGTCATGACCCAGATCACAGGCATCAGTTTAAAATTAAAATGATTACAAAAAATGTTATCTGGGGACCTAAGAGTCAAGTTCCTTCCATCATCACCAGTAATAAAGCTTCTGCAGGCCAAACTGTACCCTGAATGACAAGTAACTGACTGGAACTTAAACAATTCTCTTGATGATGCATAAAAAGGAATAAAATCCAGTTCACTCTCTCTTAGCTATGTTGGCTCTGCAGGGCTAACAAGAGTGAGAAACACTACAAGGTTATTTCAGTTAGTCAAGTAAGCTAGCCTGACTGATTACACACACTGAGCAGGAATATTGAATAGAAAGGTGCCAGTCTACATTTCATTCAAGGTAGAGTCTCACTTTTAGACAGGCTTGCCTACTGGATGGTCTTCTGAGAGTGGGTTTCATTATCATTTATTAATAGTTGTAGGCCTGGCTTGATATGGGTGAGGCTTAGTAAAAAATAGTAAATTGGATCATTTTCCTTTTTCAAGTAAAGTAATAATTTACATTCATTCCTAGCTACCATGAGCCATATTCACCCTGGTGTAACTTCAGTAAAGTCAGTGGATTTACATCAAAGTTGAATCTGGCTTATTAAACTGAGCTGAATAGCAAACACCATGATCTATAGCTCTATGAATTTTTGTGGTGACAGGCACCGTAGTTAGGACAGAGTTCTGTTCAGGGGAAAGTCCTTTTTACTTTAACACAAAGCACTGTAAACTTCATTCTACCATTGCAGACATGGATGAGTGCAGCTTCTCAGAGTTCCTTTGCCAGCACCAATGTGTGAATGAGCCCGGTTCTTACTACTGTTCCTGCCCCCCTGGCTATGTTCTGCTTGATGATAACAGAAGCTGCCAAGGTAAGAACATTCCAACCATGAATTAAAACCCAACCAAACAGTAAATAGCTCATAGTTCTGGAAGGAAAATTAAGTTGATTCACTGAGAATCAAGACTTGAGATGTTTGCTTGATCTGAGCATTGCAAAAAGTTGGAAATATTCTTAGGGGGTGTATTGTGCAGCTATGCTGGTGAGTGCTTACTCCCATGAGTGATCCCATTGAGATCAATGGGGTTATTTGCATGAGTAAGTGCTTGCTATTGTGAGTAAGGGTTGCACAGAAAGGTATCTAATGGTCCAGTTTTGCTCCCCCTGAAGACAGTGGCAAAACACCTACTGACTCCAATGGGGGAAATGAGGATTGGGTCCACTGAGAGCCCCTACTTTACTCTGGAGCTTTTGAAATGCCATTAACTCATTAAAGTATATTACTGAGTAGAGCTAATCTCAAACCTAGAGCACTGGTCCCTGCATCTATGGGTGTGTCCTGCACTATAGGATCAGAAAGAGATAGCCACTGACTTCCATGACTGTGCCCGGGGCATTTTCTTTTTTATTGTATCTCCATGTATTGTTCTGTATGTTCTGCATTAAGCTGTAGCCGTGGTTGTACCATAGCTGCTGGACTCGCTTTTCCCTTTCAATACAGCTTTCTGTCTGCGGCTTCTCAACCAGTTTTAAGCTGGCTGTGAGCATAGGAGCAGTCTGCTCTTTCTTTAATGTCCACCCTCTATAAATTCACTGAAAAAGAAATCCTGCAGGGTTGAGATGTTATGCAGGGTTCATCAATACGGATATTTTTTTTAATCGTCTCAGTAGCAGCATTCATGGAGTCAGGTGTGGTTTGAATTTTTTAATGCCCAAACTCTTCATTCCCCCCAAATGGCACTTCCAATAGCAGAGTGTACCTGGCCCCATGCTGAATAACACTGGATCAGTGCCCTGTGTTCTGAATGTTTCATTTATTAGCTTGCTAATAAGGGCAAGGTTGAGGGGCAAATGGGGACCGTGTATGTCCAACAATTCCCCCAGAAAACTTTGCATTATTGGTATGTGGGCACATTATGCTCCCCTCCCCTCCCCTTTGTCTGTTTAACTTTTAAGATTGTGGCTCTTTGGGGCAGGGGCCATGACTCCTTTTATATTTGTGTAGTGCCTATCACTGTGAGGGCTCTCCCAGAAACTGAGAAATAAACTATTAATAATATAATGAAACCTGGCTTAAAAGAGGGACTGATGAAAAAATGGTTCTCCTTAAAGTGATTGTCCCTCTGTGTAGTGCACTTCAGGTTGGGCATGAACTCTGTGTACCCGTGACTGGGGAATGGTCTTTAGCAGTGGCTGTGTGGTCTACGTATTCATCCCCACTCTCCTTGTGCACCACCCCAAAGAGATGAGAGGGGCTGCTAGACTGCCACCCTCTTATCTCTTAGTTTGTTACCTCTTAGTTCCTTTTTACTGCTCATGGGCTAGGATGGAGCATCAGTGTCATGCTGACTTCTTCAGATTCTCTCTCTAAATAGTTTTCAAAGTTGTAAGAATTTTCATAGTTAGCTAGTTTTATAGTATAGTTAAGCGATAGATTTAGGGGTCTAGTTCCCTATTTTTGGAAACGTTTTCCAATGGTGGGAAGTCATTGCTGTATACATACTCGCACCCACACCCACCCACCCAATGGTTGTGGGGAGTATGCCAAGAATCCCTGGTTTCAAAAATTTCAATACATGCCCCAAGCCCTTCCTGGTCACGGACTATCACAATATCTGTCTGTACTTCCTGGGGGAAGCCAATGTCCCTTCCAGTATGCCCCTGTGGTATCCGCGGGTCGTTTCTGAGTAGGAAAAAGCAGTCCAGGGAGTTCAGCTCCAAAAGTTCCTCTTTGAGAAGTACATGAAAGTAAGGAGTATGCCCCTGTACATCAACCTGAAGAAGGTAGGATTGGCTCCTCTTCTTCGGTCTCTGGGCAGTTCCAAGACCTCCACCCCTCACCAGCTCAGAAAGGCTCAGGAGAGCAGGGAAGGGAGACGCAAGTGCATTCATAAGGACAAGAGGGAAGATTCCCCATTCAAATCTAAGAAGAGGCAGAAGTCCCTGGCTCATTCCAAGTCACTGGGAGATTTCTACTTCAGAGCAGGACCATACAATACTGAGAAGGAACAGACTGGGACTTCTTCAAAGGGCAAAACTGCAGCACTTTCCAGTATTGGGGACTGCTTCTTCAACACCAAAACCCTCGTTGGTACCGTCAGATTTAGTGACCTCTACTTCAGTGATCTGAGCTGTGGAGACATCCCCATCAACTCTGTCTGGCTTTCTGATTCCAGAAAATCTTCTGCTATTCCTAGAACTGGAGTCACTCCTCCTTTCCAGATCTCAATACCTTGCACCAAGACTTCAACTGGTGCCAATATTTCTGTGGTACCACTTTCCAATCCCCACCAACAAGTTGGGTTGAGGCAGACTATCTCCGATACCATCAATGAGTAAAGGCAGATCCCTCCCACCTCCTGCAATATGAAGAGCCTCCCTTTCTGGATCTGAGGTCAGAATCCTCAAAGTCAGAAGAGGACTACAGCAGACACCTGTCCCAGACTATGTCCCTAAGGACTCCTAAAGAGCATTGAGCCCTGATAAAATAATGAGAGTCTCCACACTATCTCACTACTCTTCTACTAGAGGATACCCTCTCCCCCATATACTCACTGGTACCCAGCACTTCAGCGCCATTATTGAGGGGCTACAATGTTGCGCAGTAATGGTATTGAGTCTCGAGGCTCTTCTGGGACCATCATACAATATACGCACCTTAAGATACAAGGGACCCAAAGAGATAAGGGATCCCAGGGTGGAGGAAGTGCCTCCTTAGCCTCCTCAAGAGCCTCAACTCCAGCAGCAGGAGGATGAAGAGCATCATAAGGAGGATTTTGTGCCTGTAACCTTGTCGTCCTCTTCCCCAGATGATGCTGTGATTACAGTTTCCCCTATGCACCCCAATTATACAAAGGCCTTCCAAGACTTACTCGAGAGTGGCCTGTCCAGGAAGCACCACGCAAACTGCTAGACATTTTGCATAGATTGGACCGGAGCAGTGGTGCTCCCTATTAAAGATGCAATCCTCGAATCCTCCAGGACTCTCTGGCAGACAACCACCACAATCCCACCAGTGTCCAAACAGGCTGAGGAGAGGTTTGGTCACAGTAGTTATTGCAAAAGGGTCACAGTAGTTATTTTCTCACTGGCCTCCCAAATTGTTGGTAGTTTCAACAGCCACTGAGCATAGTCGACAGAGACAGGCTTAGTCAGTGCTGCATGAGAAAGAAGCAAAGAGGCTTGACCTCTTTGGCAGAAAGGCACATTCCTTGGCCTCTTTGCAATTCCAAGTCTCAAAGTGCCAAGCTCTGATGGTCAAATATGATTTTACTATTTATGACAAGCTAACCAGCTTATGGTGCTTCAGGATATTAGAGACCACTTCCAGACCCTACTTGATGAAGGAGAGCTGGTAAAAAGATCGGCACTCCAGATGACCTTAGACGCAGCGGACATGGTGGAGAGATTCATGGCCACTATTGCCATGATGAGACACTCATTGTGCTCTCCTCGGGAGTCCCAAAGGAAGTTCAAACAATGCTGAGGCATTTTCCATTTGAGTGTGACACTCTATTCAGTGCTAAGACAGATGAGTCTCTCAGTTTGTTGAAAGACCCCCAGAGCCACACTTTGATTGCTGGGTATTTATACATGTGCAGTGAAGAAGAAACCCAGTGAGCCACAATTCTGATGACCAACCCCACCTGCCTTTTATCACTAGTGGGAGTATGAACCACCACACAAGCAGCAGGGAACACACAAAAAGGGTGCCCAAGGTCAACTATCTTCCACCATCTAGACTGGTATTTTGACAGGACCTGCAAAAGCCAGACACTAACTGTCCCTCCAGATCTGCACAACCTCTCAGATCTTTCACTCTCTTTGGAGGCTGACTTTCCCACTATCTGCCTGGACAGAAATCACAATGGACAGATGGGTCCTAGAGGTTGTCTCCTTGAGATTCACTATTTAGTTCTCTTTCCTCCCCAACTGCCCTCCCTGTCCTCTTTCAAGCATATTCTCACAAGAACATGGACAGTCAGACTTTGGACCTTCCCACATCATCAACATAAAGCACAAGCACATTCTTCTGCAGGAGATTGTCACACCTTGAACTGGAGGCAATAGAACTAATATCTCCAACAGCAAGGAGAAAGGGATTGTCTGCTCAAGGTATTTCCTCATTCCCAAGAAAACTGGGGGATAGAGACCCACTCTGGACCACAGGGAATGAACAAGTTCATCCACCACCTAAAATTCAGAATGGTGACCCTATTGTCCCTTTTCCTGGTGCTAGATCCAGACAACTGGTTCATGCCCGTCGGTCTCAAGGATGCCTGCATTCATACAGACATTCATCCAGCCCAATGTAGATTCCTGAGATTTGTGGCTAGTCAACACCACTACCAGAGATCTCCCCTTTGGGATCTTGATAGAACCTAGAGTTTTCACCAAGGTACCTTCACTGATAGCAGCTCACTTTCATCTGCAAGGAATGACAGTTTACCCTTACTTAGATGACTGGCTCCTGAAAGGGCAATCTTACAGGGAAACATGAGAAGCAACTGCCATGCTTCTACATCTGTCTGAGAGGCTGGGCCTCAGAGTGAACCTGGAGAAGTCCACCTTGCAACCCTCACAGTCGATAGAGCTTATCAGGGTCAGGCTGGATGCTGTTACAACCAGGGCATACTTACCAGATGACCATTTCCTCTCCATCACCAGGCTCATACCGCAGATCTGTTTGAGCCCCAGAACATCCAGACAAATCCTGCTTGTCACTGTTGAGTCATATGGCCACAAGTACTTATGTGTAAGGCTGTGTGTCTGTCTCGGAGGTCACGGAAGTGATGGATTCCATGACTTTGTGACCTCTGTGATTTCTGCAGCAGCTGGTGCTGGCTCAGGCTGCCCAAGCCAGGCAGCCTCTGGGCCAGCAGTAGCAGTTTGGGCTGGGGCTGGAGATTGGGGTGCGTGGCGGCGGTGCTTACCTTGGGGGGGCTCCCCGGCTCCCACCAGTATGTTCCTGCAGCTCCTAGGTGGAGCGTCCAGGGAGGCTCCGCGTGCTGCCCACACCTGCAGGTGCCGCCCTCACAGCTCCCATTGGCTGTGGTTCCCAGCCAATGGGAGCTGTGGAGCTGGCACTTGTGGCGGAAGCAGCGCATGGAGCCCCCCGGGCATCCCTCCCCCTAGGAGCTGCAGGGACATGCCGGTCGGAGCTGGGTAGGGAACCTGCCAGCCCTGCCAACCCTCCCCTCCAGCACCAGCGGGGGTCCCGGGCTGCGCGCTGCCACCTATCCTCCCCCGTCCCAGCACTAGCGGGGATCCCGGACCAGGCCTTCCCAGCACCAGTGGGGGTCCCGGGCCGCAGGCCACCACCCGCCTCCCCCCCCAGCACCTATTCTGGGACAAGTTGAACAATATGTCCCTTGAGGGCAGCATATGAACTCCCTCAACTTGAGCTAAGGCAGCATCAGTAGCTTTCTTTAGAAACGTTCCTATTGCTGACATGTGCAGAGTAGCAACTTGGAATTCCATTCACACCTTCACTAGACAATATGCACTGGTGCAAGCAGCTGCTTCTACTGCCTCTTTGGGCAGGGCAGCTCTGCAATCTGCTGTGTCATAAGACTCCAGGCAGACAGCTCCTTGAAACAGACACTGCTTGTGAATCATCTGAAGTGCATTACACATAGGGACAGCCACTTGAAGAAGAAGGATGGGTTACTTATCTTGTAGTAACTTGAGTTCTTTGAGCTGCGCAGTGCACTACCAACACTCCCTCTCTGCTGCCTGGCCTCCCCCTACCTGGCACTGATGGTAGAGACGGAACTAAGATGGCTGTGATCTGGCAGTGCCTTTTATGCACACATGGCCCAGACTCTGCTAGTGAAAAATCTCTGGTCCTGGGCGCATGCACAATCTAAATAGCACTACTCATAGGGATAACACATCGCAAGAGCTCAAGTTACTACAAGGTTAGTAATCCATCCCAGATGGAGCAGGGTTGTACTTTGTTTGGTGATACTTTGGTGCACTCTCTTAATAGGGGAGGTTGCTTTATTATAATAAAATACAAATAATAAATGATATCTAGCTATTATATAGCTGTTTTCATCCATAGATCTCACAGTGCTTTATAAAAGAAGTCAGTGTCATAGTCCCCATTTTACAGATGGGGAAACTGAGGCCCAGAGGGGGGAAATGACTTGCCCAAGGTCATCCAGCAGGTCAGTGGCAGAGCCAGGTCTCCTGAGTCCCGGTTCAGTGCTCCATCCACTAGGCCACACTTTACAAGGGTGGCATCTTGTAGAGTTTTCCTTGTATTATCCTCCCTCTCATTTTTGTGTTTCAGATATCAATGAATGTGAGACTAGAAACTTCACTTGTACTACACAGCAAACCTGTTTCAATATCCAAGGAGGATACAAATGTCTAGACCCAGTAAAGTGTGAGGATCCTTATATCCAGATCAATGACAAGTGAGTAACAGACCCATAGAAGTGGACGGCAGTAAATCTGCTTGAGGCAAATAAATTGCACTTCTGCAACATGACAGCAAAGTACATCTAAAGTGCTATACAGACACTATTGTTGCATTTAGTATTAGTAAGCTTTATAAAAATGATAAATTGCAATTACTTGCCAGGTGGTAGGAGATTCAGTTGTGTGGGAAGTTAAGCTGGAAAAGCCCTCAACCAAAATGAGTGCAGCAGAGAAGACCATAATGGTTATAATGCAACAAAAGAAAGTTAGTTACTCCATTGTCACCTGCCTTTAATCATACTTGATCAAACACAATCTATTTGTTAATAATAGTACTTCCTTACCTACCCAATCCAGGGGGTTGTGAGGATTAACTAGTTAATGTTTGTACAGAGCTTTGAAAGCATAACACACTGTACTATAGAGGAGTGGCAGCTCTGCTAGAGTTAAGATTGAGTCACTTACCATTTAAAAGATGACTCTTCTAAGAGATGTAAAATCCACATGCTGACTGACTTTGTCTTGAAATGTACTTTGCTTCATGGGGGTCCTAGGTACTGTTAGTGGTCCACAGGTGATGTCCTTTGAGCAGGGTGTTCCCAAGATACAGTCCCCCTGCTAAAAGCCCCAGCATCTTACAAAATCACATGGTGGTTCTAACGTTTTTTTGCACACACTTGGGAGTCAAATTATGGCTGAAATTCTCCCCAGTCTTATCTCAGTCACTTGGGATTTATTTCAATCAGCGTATGGCACCTGCAGCCCCCTTGCCAAGTTACTCAATATTAAGCTTAAAACTCCAGATGGTATGTCAGTAACTGAAGCCAAAGAAAACAAAAGACGTGCAACAAGACTAGGGCTCTGTTAACATCCAAAGGGTTTCCAGCCAATCTATTATCACCAGTTATAGTAACTGGGTGGCTCAAGGTGACATGCTCTGGTCGCTGAACCTGAGCAACACTGATGCACTGAGAGTCTGAGCACTTTCAGCAAATGTGGCTTGTGCACATTTCTTGCTCTTTGCCTGCATTCTGCACGGGCTTCTTTTGGGAGTTTTGCCCCAAGATCAAAATTCTGGTTTTAAGAGCCATATTTTAAAGCTCTAAAATCTATATGCAGACTCCGATTTTACTTTAGAAGGAAGGAAATTAGCATTACTTAAATAGAGGGAAGATGAGAGATTCTAGGAAGCAGTTAGGGTAATGTCATCAGCCTGAACAATGGGACTTAGTGTGATCAAAGGAAAGCAAGTTGCTGGGTCTTTTAATATTCACAGAGTTTAAGGCCAGCAGGGAGCATTAGAACATAACATTGCTAACAAAATTTACCTTTATTGGCCGTCAGTAAAAGACATCTCTTTGGTCAAGTATTTGCTCAAGTTCGGACCATCCATGGGGTGTTTATGGATTATGGTTGGTGTGTGTAATAAAGAGAGGGGGCTATTTAGATCTTCATTGTGAACTGTCTGATTTAATTAGAGATGTGCCTGAACCAAAACTCCAGACCCAGGCTTTGGAAGAATTGGACTTTGTGGCTCTGGGCAGTCTTTAGATTTATTTTCTGGCTATATTTACCGTATTTTCCGGCGTATAAGACGACTGGGCGTATAAGACGACCCCCAACTTTTCCAGTTAAAATATAGAGTTTGGGATATACTCGCCATATAAGACTACCCCTCTTCCAATGCACACCAAATAAAAATTAAAAAAACATCAGATTTGATTTCAATATGGTAATTTTAATTCAAATGCTTATGACGTGCAGGTACTTAGCAGGAAAACTGTCACTTATAAACATAAGGCTGTTTGTCATCAAGCATGTAAACATAAAACAGT